TAAGACAGCCCAAATCGGGCTGGCGTTGGCCAGTGCGAGTGGGGGGGTTTTCGGGGTAGCAAACGACGCAATCTGCTTCCACACCAACAAGAGGCGAGCCGCAGCCAGCCAAAGTGCCTGACGTTGCCTGGCACGTTGCCTTCGGGGCCCTCAAGAAAAGAGGCGCAGGCCGAGCCGCAGCCAGAATGCCTCGGCGCCTACTAAGGTCGCCTGGCCTGGCGCACTTGCCTGGCAGCTGAGTCAGAGGTGTGCGTATAGAAGACTGCGCAAATCGGGTTGAGTGCCAGCAGGGTGGTTTCCGGGGTAGCAAACGACGCAATCTATTTCCACACCAACACGAGGCGAGCCACAGCCAGCCAAAGTGCCTGACGTTGCCTGGCACGTCGCCTTCGGGACCCTAAAGCAAAGAGGTGCAGGCCGAGCCGCAGCCAGCCAAAATGCTTAACGTCGCCTGGAAATTGCCACGCCGGATACCCCCCCGCTTGCACTGGCCAACGCCAGCCCAATTTGGGCTGTCCTATACGCACACCTCTGGCTCAGTTGCCAGGCAATTGGGCCAGGCCAGGTGACGCTGCCTTTCCAGGCGATGTGAGGCATTTTGTCTGGCTGGGGCTCGGCCTGCGCCTCTTTTCTTTATAGGGTCCCAAAGGCGACGCGCCAGGCAACGTCAGGCACTTTGGCTGGCTGCGGCTCGCCTCTTGTTGGTTGTCTTGTATGCACACCTCTGACTCAGCTGCCAGGCAACTGGGCCAGGCCAGGCGACGACGTTAGGCGTTTTCGCTGGTGCCACAACTGGGCCGGGCCAGGCAGGCAACTGGGCCAGGCCAGGCGACGTTAGGCATGTTGGCTGGCTGCGGCTCGGTGTGCGCCTGGGTCCCGAAGGCGACGTGCCAGGCAACGTTAAGCATTTTGGCTGGCTGCGGCTCGCCTCTTTTTGGTGTGGAAACCTCCTGCTGGCACTGGCCAACGCCAGCCCGATTTGGGCAATCCTATACGCACACCTCTGACTCAGCTGCCAGACAACTGGGCCAGGCCAGGCGACGTTAGGCGCCGCTGCCTTTCCAGGCGGCGTTACGCATTTTGGCTGGCTGCGGCTCGGCCTGCCCCGCTTTTCTTTAGGGTCCCGAAGACGACGCGCCAGGCATACCCAAACCCAAATAGGCCGGCGCCCGGCTGCCAGGCGTAAGCCTCATAAATCCGGGCGCCGGCCACGCGCCGGCGCCCGGCTGTTAGGCGTAAGCCTTTAAACCTGCCCAGAGGGCCTTCGGTGGCAACCGAAGGTTATTAAGGGCTTACGCCCGACAGCCGGCCAGGGGCCCAAGCAAAGGGGAGGGGGCAGGGAAAAAGGGCACGGGGGGTTGTTGTTGTTGTTGTTGTTGTTGTTGTCGTTGTCGTTGTTGTTGTTGTTGCTGGTGGTGGTGTTGTTGGTGGTTGTGGTTGTGGTTGTGGTTGTGGTTGTGGTTGTGGTTGCGCTTGCGCTTGCGCTTGCGCTTGTGCTTGTTGTTGTTGTTGTTGTTGTAGTTGTTGTAGTTGTAGTTGTAGTTGTAGTAGTAGTAGTAGTAGTAGTAGTAGTAGTAGTAGTAGTGGTAGTAGTAGTTGTTGTTGTTGTTGTGGTTGTTGTTGCGGTTGTTGTTGTTGTTGTTGTTGCTGTTGTTGTTGTTGTTGCTGGTGGTGGTGGTGGTGTGGTGGTGGTGGTTGTTGTTGTGGTTGTTGTTGTTGCTTTCTTGGCCCAGCTTGGGTCGATGTTGGCGTATCTTGGGGGCTATCTGGGCATCTTGGGAGCTATGCTAGCCCATCTTGTCGCTATGTTGGGGCTACGTTGGCCCATCTTGGGGGCTACGCAGGCCCATCTTGGCGCTATCTTGGCCCATCTTGCCCATCTTGGGGGCTATGTTGGCCCATGTTGGGGCTATGTGGCCCATGTTAGCCCAGCATCCGCCCACGATGCAGACGAATCACCCCGGTGCGGCACGCATTTCCAGCATTATTTGGGCCTATGTTGACCCATCTTGCGTCGCAAGAGCCGAAAAATGGGACAAGCCAAAAACACTGTAAAACGCGGTAGCTTCAGTAGGTCCCTCTCTCCTACGCAAAGGAGAGGTGGCCTACGGCAAGGACACGGCCTTGGGGCCTCCCGGGCCCCTGGCCGGATATACGGTCGCGCCCCCTGCCGCCGACCCTCGTCACCAAAACGGGGGGACCACCGGGTACAGTGTTTCGTGTGTGTGAGGTATAAAAAACACTGTGCTTTACAGGGTTTATTGCGCATGTCGAAATGCGACGCGGGGAAAAGGGAGAAATGCCAAAACGCTGTGCTTTTCAAGGGTGGTGTCGGTGATGCGCGCCGGGCGGACAGGCTTAATCGACATTTTGTGGGTAGAGGCCCTCCAGACGACTTAAATTGCCTAACATATCCTCAACATAGGCCCAAGATAGCCAACATATGCCCAACATAGCCTCCAAGATGGCTCAACATAGGGCCAACATAGGCCAACATGGGGCCAACATAGGCCTAACATAGGCCCAACATAGGCCCAACCTAGGCCAACATAGGCCAACATAGGCCTAACATAGGCCAACATAGGCTCAACATAGGCTCAACATGGGCCCAAGTTGTGCCCGCACCAGATAGCTTAACTTTGCTCAATATAGGGCCCCCGTCTCCGACGCGGCCGACGCGGACCAGTTTCCCACCTTGGCACCACCCAGGGCCCAGTACGCCCCCGATAGCTTAACGTGCACCCGACCCAGCCCTACACAGACCCAAGTGGGCCGGCGCCCGGCTGTTAGGCGTAAGCCTTTAAATTTGACCGTGCCGAGCACCTCCACTTGGGTGTTTTCTTCCTTAGTATCCCGCAATAGAGCTTTTCTCAATGGCACATTGTAAAGGACTGCTGCAACAGAGCTTTTCTCAATGGCACATTGTAAAGGACTGCTGCAACTAGGGTTCTGCGTGTTCAAGGAGCTTAATGTCAGGGTCCTGCACCAGTAGCGTCAAACAAGCTATGTACCTGAACTCAGCAATTGTCAATTGTGGCACTGGTCCTCTCCATTGATTTTCAGAATCAGGTCGTTGGTACGCAAAGACACGTCAGGATGTTCCGAATTGTGCCTTGCAATCGATCCTAGGCCATCACAAAATGCAAAAATAATGCAAAATCTGTTTCAGGACTGGGAAATATAGTGAAAAAATAACAATGGAAAAAGGTTTATATACATCCATCTTAAAGAAACCAGTAAAATCCTTCAAACTACCCCGTTGCTGGACTGGGCAAAACGATCTACACAAGGTAAGCTTCCATCAGGCTGAATTTCCATAATCCGCCATAGGTGGTCTGCTCTCTTGGCCAGTCTCCTTGCGACCCGAGGCCGTAGGTCATGAGGAGGAAATGGGATTACTTGGACCCTTGGTATGTTTGGACCCCTGGACCCAGATTCTCAAAATTTCAGTCCACTAGTCACTAGATTGTCCTTGCACTGGCTTCTGCTCTATTGCCTGTCACGATTTTGTACCGGTAGCTATCCGTCTCTATATCATATCACTTCTACAGGTATCTCTACCACATTCTAGGAGCAAAAACTCGAGATTTGCTTTTGTCCACACTCCTAGAACAAAACACCACAACCAAAATGGGACCAACCCAGTCCAGAGCGACCTTCAAAATTAACGCTTCAAATGTGGTTCTCTTCCACTAAGGCTTCGTTGTTGGGTTTCCGGCTTCGTTTTCCCAGGATTTGCACCAGTTAGGCTACTATGCTCTGTTTGTCACCAGGTGAGTTAGATTGCCACTGCACCTATACAATGTGAAGTACAGCACCACAACGCCAACAGTACAGCTTTTCTCTCACAATCTGATGTCGGCCAGGGTCTACAAAGGACACTTTTTCGTGGATTTCGGCTTCGTTTGGGGCTTCGTTTTGGCTTCGTTCTAAGACACCCCATTTCATACGCTCCAAACCCTCAAGATAAGGTCATCGAAAGCAACGTGCAAGAGAGTCCAAAATCTGCAGGAAACACAACAAAGCTACGATCGGGGCTTCCCAGCTTGAACGTTCCAACTCAAAAAAGGATACTTTAGTACACGGCAACTCAGAACTGTACACATGCAAGCATCCCACCAAGAGGTTTTGTTTTCAGGTGTCTGGCTTCGTTTTGCAAGAATGTGCAACATCTCACTCCAAATGGACTATTTCATATGAAAACTTAACGCTAAGTTTTATGGGGTGACTGGCTTACCAACCCTTCCTCTAACCTTCAACCATACTTCCAACTTCCAACATGTGATCATTATGTTGGGCAACTGGGAAGATGGTGCTTCGTTAGGGCTCAAGTGGGATGGGAAGTGAGGGCAAATTGCAAACTGCATGACAATAAAAGAGCAAGTCACAGCAAGTCCTTCAACTTTGTGCAAATGCACAAATGCTGCGGTCACTGGCACTTGGCCAAACAAACGCCCCTCTCCACTGTCAAGTTCGAATGATTGGTAACTCCCGGCCACAGTGAAACACGAGCCTGCCAATCTTGTTAATGCAAACTAGGGTCAGGCCATACTTCCCTTGCCTCGTGAGAGTAGCCTTGAGAGGCCAGGATAAACGTCACTCAGTCTGAGCCAATCAAACAACTGCAACTTGTCTCAAGTGCAAACAAAGAGCAGTTATCTGACGGCTTCCTGGCACCTTGGATTGAAAATATCGGAAACAACCAACAGTGGCACTGAAGAGCCTGCACAGCGATACTACCAAGCGATACGAAGTTCTATTGGGTCATGCAGGTCACTGGGTTGAATCGCACTTCTGGATTAATTGAAACGTTAAAGTATTTTCTCAGCTTGTTTTTCGATTCGGACCTCGTCAAATCTCTCGCAATGGCCTTTACTGCAAGCTTCTATTGGAATTTCGGTTGAAGCAAACCCATGCTGCCAATACACATCAATGTCCTTTGATGAGGATTTGCTGCGTGGCTCACGTCCCACAGCTGCCACAGGAACAGCCTTAGTGTTGGACCAAACTGCACACATACAGTAGTGTTCTACTTGGTTTTACATCATTTTCCGCATGTTGCTGGATCATCTTGAGGTGCTCGCCAGCGGTGCCGAAGGTACGCGGTCCACACGGTCCACACGTTCCGGACGTTCCACGCGCAAGTTTTCTGGCCCTGGATGTTCAAAAGAGCTTGACGAAAAGGCAATAATTGGCATTACATAGCAGGAAAAAGCACGATGAAACACCAGCATTTCATGCAAAGGAAATGGGAAATCCCGATTAATGATCGAAAGACTGCGGGAAACGTCCTTTAAAAGCTTTGTGTCTGTGCCGTTCGAAACCAGCGTTGCCAGTCTGACTGTCAAAACTACCACTTACCACCAATCACCTCTCTTCCGGCAGACTTTGTCAGTGTGCTCCTTGTTGAGCAGAACTTGCACCAGAACCCATAGCAAGTGGCGCGCAGGAATGCTGGCAAAGCAGCATCTGAAAGCAGTGCTGCGGTCTTTTTTTTTGTGGGTCTCATGTGGTACCTGCCTGCTTGCTCGGTATGAACAAAACCACAGAAAGTAGAAAGAAACAAATCAAACTTAGACTTAAACATTGAGTTTCCTTGCCATGTCTTCTTGAGCCAAAGCACTTCTTGAACCAACGCTAAACATTTGAACCAGGAACTTCAAAGTGCCGACACGTTGAACTTCAAATGACCGGAATAGTTTCGCACACCAGCGCCTCCAGGAAGTGAGGATTCATTGCTGCCATGGCAACCGTCTAATCTCATGAGAGTGCTTCTGGCAAAAATCCTGCTTTGAAGATTGTAAAGTTGCAAAGTAAGCCGTAGGTTTTGATGTTGATAGAACATATGTGACTGCTTCGCATTCTTCTCTACTGTTTGTTTGGCTGGGCAAGTGTGCAGTAGAGAGACCAAAATACAAACGTGTTTTCAATGAAAAAGGGCAAACACCATTGTACAATCCCATAGACTGTCATGCCCATAGCATTGGGTCTTGCGACACCGGGACCTGCTCATCTCCAACAAGCACATGCCCTCCGCGAGGGCATACAGCTTTGGCAGGAGCCTCAGCTTGTCTGGTGTTTCTTTCGGTTTCAAGGCTTGATTTATGGGAGGCACCTCGATCCTGAGAGACGCCATGGACGAGGAAGTCCGAAACTTCGTGAAGAACGGAGGCCGACCACTACCTGCACATTATCTGCACATGAAAGAACTGGCAGCCCCTGTAAAACATGGTAGTAACGCTGGCACTACAAGACCTGCCTCTGAAATACTCACACCGTTGCTCAGCCAGTCCAACCCCATGTACCTGGGTCAGATATAGATAAAATGTTGAACAAGTCCTGCTGTGCGATGAATGGACAGGCCCAACAGCCACGTAAGAAAAGAAGGTTGCTTCCTAAGATACGCCCATGTTGTTCGAGTAGAATGTCGGCTTCAAACAAGAAGCCACAAGCTGTGGACTGTGAAAATGGTTGAAGGATTCTAGCAGTTTCTACTGGAATTTCCATGGCCCAGAGTCTCCAGGTTGCAGAATCTGTGTGACTGAGCGTGTGGCGCTATGCTGAATAGCTTCAAGTCTGAGGTGCAAGCACAACATAGGCCGCAAAGAAAACTGCTCCTGTGGGTCCAAAAATTGCGAGTGCCCTGATCTGCTGGGCCACTGCGGACCTGGAATGTAGGTGAAAATACCAGTGTGACAGCTCAGTCAGCTCGAGTTATGGGGCACGGGCTCATCAAACAAGTAGCAAAGACCAGCCAGCATCAGGGATATATACCTCAGACTCAGACAGTGCATGACAGCGCTGTAGGAGTGTACAGTCAAGAAGGAACTATAACCAGTCCTGGGCACTGAGCACCAAACAAAGTGCGATAGTTCTTGCTGCACCCTACACGTGCTGCTGCCTCGCAGGCTCCTGCAGTTGCGCTGCTGGCCCAAAGAAGGCCAGGAAATTCCTGACAGGAGCCACAAAAGAGCTCAATGGAACATAGAACATAGACAACTACCGTTTTGTTTATAAAGCCCTTTCCATGGGCATTACTACTCGTAGCAAGAAGCTACTACCCTTTTGTTTACATAGACCCTTTTGTTTACCTGCATGCAAACGCCTCCAAGGCTCGAATGGATGCGCTGAAAGAAACGATGACAGAGCTACAAGAGCTTCTCCGTCCGGGCGTCGTCCTAGAATCCACCTGCGACATGCAAAAACCCAATAGGCCTAGCTGGTAGATGGTTTGAAACTGGAACTCTTGGGACTTCCTGGTGGGCCCCTTGCCAAAAAAAGAAAACTAAAAACGGCCTGTATTTTAGACTGGTCCCTGTCCGGCCTAGACTGGTGGGGTGAAATGGCTTGGAGAACCAGGTGGACGAGCCCGGCGAGGGAAGCAAGAAATGCACACACCGCCGCGACTTTCTGTCCTGGCAGTGGGGCTGGAGAACATGATCCGTTCTTTGCAGTAACAAGTGCCACGCTAGTAGTAACAGGTGCCTTACTAGTAGTAACAAGAAGCTACTAGTAACAAGTGCATCGCTAGTAGTAACAAGTGCCACGCTATGGGACCGCCTCTTCGCAGTTGAACAAAGCGCAATGGTAAGGCATTTTCCTTGACCTTGCCAACCTGCAAGGCTCTTGTACAAGACAAAGCCATCAAACAATGCATATGTTCGCCCAGCCTCTTGGGCTTTGGTAGCTCGCCGCTGCAAATTCCAACTCCCACGCCTTAAGAACAAAGAAGCTTCACGTCAGTACTCAGGACAAATTCACAGTTGATTCCCACGATGCTTATCCTGAGGACTCTGCTGGAGTTGGAAAGCTTCACGTGATCTCACCTATCCAACCCCGCTCACTTTGCTGAGTATGGTGTCGTGAATCAGAATGAGGCCTGTGTCCAGTGTACCGGAAGTGCTCTGCCAAACACCTGGACGGGGGGCCTGACAGTGTGTTGTTTCGAACTTTTGAAGTCACTTGAAGTCCGATTGCTTATCAAGGGTAGGGCCCCAGATGCATCATGGGCTGGAGCTCAAGGTTGAATTCATGCTGTGACAAAGCAGCCTGTTACTCCTCTTAACATTCAAGTACGAGCTATACAACATGGAGTCTATTCAAATTCAGCTTTTCCCTTAAACTCCCGGCCTGTTATGCTATATAACTACAACCATCATCGGAACAAATAATCCTCGTCGGCAACAAGTAGAAAAAGAACGTGTATTGATTGCTTGTCAATCTTTCCTGACTCTGCTGTATCTCATATTGAGAGGTATGTGAGGGAACATACATTGCTAAGTAGATTCTATTCATGCATTATCTGAGCACTGCAGTTGAGCATTGGACAGTATGCAGCACTTTTTCTAAACGAGGCGTGTTGCTTGCAACCTGCCGCAACCGCAATTTGTGACAGCCATGAGGACAAGTCTTTTTCCTTAGATGTACTCGTGACCTTTCTTGGCTGTCTTTGGCCAATCGTAAACAAAGTTGCACCTTGCCAGCGGCATCTATTCACACCCCTGGTCTGCCCATATAGGGAGGGACAACAAAGTGAAACATGCCAGCCGAAATGGAATCGCAGCAAATAACGTCCCCACAAAACCTTGGGCAAGCAAATAGGTGGGATACTGTTCTTGACCCTGGCTGCCCTGGCTCAGTCATCAGGAAACACATGGCCACCTGTCACATCCTTGGAGCCAGCACACGGCCATTGCTCACACGACCGTGTCGGTGCTCCAAAGTTGGCTGAAGGAAGCTCAGGTATTGAATCGAAAACCACCGAATCGACAGTTGACAGGACTACCTCCATTCTTTCCATCCAGCCAACCGAACAAACGTCATACGTCAAGTCACACATGGAGACTGTAGTCAAGCGCATAGATCACGTACGGACAGAAGCTTAAGAAGTACCCACATGACACTAATAACTTTTTGCACATAAAGCACAATGGTTGCAACCCGATGGATCAAGATAGATTCATCGGACAATCGACACCAGTCTATCTGACATTTAATTCGTGCCACATGCATGTCATTGCTATGCTATCTAACATTGGTATCGTCTCTTTGTAACTCGCAAAACTTCCGACCGGAAAGCCGGTCAATCTAGGCCATTGCCTCTGCCAACATCCTGCGAGTCGCCTCCATTGGATCCTCCTCCTGCTTTTCCTCTTTCTTCTCGATAAATTCTTTGAAGCGTAGCAACAGAACAGCTTCGAGGCGCTTTTCAGGATAAAGTTCATCAATGGCTTCAGCTTTCCAAGTATTTCCTTCTTTCTGAATAGTGGCGATGAGCCAAACTCCGGTGGATCTGAGGCCTTCAGGCCTCCGAAGCCGCAACAGCTCGGTCTTACCTTGTAACAACTTGGCTGACCAGGGTGAGGGACCCTTCGCAGTGGTAAATCCTTGGTTTGAAGATGCGTCATTGATGGTCTCCCGTGCTGCAAGCTGTGCTACTAAGGCAACTAAGGGTACACCTTTCAGGGTCGCAGGTTTGAACATTAACAATTGTCAAAAGTCAAACGGCAACCTGCCAGCCTGAAAATTGGAAAATGCAAAGGATTTCTTTACATGTTGACATGGGCAACAGTGGCATCTTCAACCGCCAGAGTTTGAGCACTTCAGGTCACAACACTTGCTTACTAAATTTGGCTCCATTTATCAAGCAGCCCGTGTTGCTGTACCCCCCCTGCCTTTCAGCTCTGATAAATCCATGGAGTCTCCATCCTGTCTCAAAGGTGCCCCACTCGCCGGGAATTGCCACCAGGTGCATTTGGGCATTGCAGCTTTTTCCTTGCCCATGTCATCTGTTGTAACATTTGCTAGAACAGCACCATTCTCACATAGTGAGGAAAGCAGTGGATCAAATAGCGGCTTCTTTGGTGCAGGCTCTTTGAGAAAGTCACCAAAACTTCTCGCTGCCCAACCAACTTTTGGTTTAGCAGCCGGCTGTGAGGCTTTGTCCCGCTCTGCCAAATATGCCGCGCCACTTGTTCTCTTCATTATCTAGTCACTGTCCAATACTTACAACAATTGTGTTACAAAGGCTATGTTTGTATCATATGTCGCCACGTAAATTCCAGTTTGTGGGACAACGGTGCAGGCTGACAATGCTCCGTCTGCTTGGTATGTCATCTACCTATCGACGGACGCGGTGATATATTGTCATATAACTACATATATATACATACATACAATACACACAATTCAACATGTATGCTACAACTTTTGTACTTCTTTGTACACACACCCTGATTAATTGCTCCAAAGGAACGATCTCTCTGCTTCATACTTGTCCTTTGACACAGAATAACCGCTGCGTCTGTATCATCAGCATCTGATCCATTTGAGCCAATCCATGTCAGTCGATCGATCCATTGAGTGTTCTCATGCTGTTCCAAGGGCAAGCCTCCAAGGTCTTGCTGAGGCAAGCACCAGTAGTACTGGCGGAGCATGACGATTTCGCTCGGCGACTTGAGCAACAGGCCTATGCGGAACAACTGAAGAGTATGGATTCAGTATGGATCAAAGCCTAGGCGTGTAGCACCTCGATACCTACACAGGATACATTTGTCCAATGCGACGTTGGTCGCTAGTGACAAACAATGAGATAGTGATAGCCAGAGCCGCGAGCATCTGAGCAAGCTTGGGGTCGTTCATCCAAGTTGCCTCAAAGCTTCGCTTCGGATGACTACCTTTTGAAAGGTGTTCTTCAATGATAGGAGAGGAACCCCAAACACACTTAGCACCACTGTCATTCAATGTCTGAGCCAACGGCACCAGAGCGTGGCTGCATGGGTCCAAGCCTCAAAAGGATCACGTGAAAATGGATCCTGGCAATTTGTCAAATGTTTTGTAGGTCTCAAAAGATGCTGGTGGCTTTTTTTAACCCAAACTGGTCCATGTTTCTGACACGGAGATAAAACATGAAAGCAAAACGCATGGAGTAGGATCCGGGCACATCGAAGTCAAACCTTGGAGAAACAGGCGAGCGGAAGAACTGGCAATTAAAAGTCAGAGGAGAGGGGAGAGCTTCTGAAATTTCTTAAATTCACCTGCCTGTCAAACCAAGTTTGATGATTGCGGCAGCTTCATCATGTCTGTCCGGGTCTGGCTCCAGGGTCTGTGCAGTTGTTGTTTTGTGTTGGAAAACAAAACCTTCTATTTTCCCAAACATCAAGAAACTGCAGAGGCTACAGTATCTGCACTCTGTCCAGATCTGGTTCCATGGTCAGTGCAGGTGTTGCTTTTTGGTGTTTGCTTAAAGCTCGAGGTTTTTGACCCTCTTTCATCTAAGTTCCAAGCCTTCCAACCTCACTTCACAAGCATTCTCGTACAAGGAGGAGCAACACGCTTTCAGCCCATTCAGTCTCTAACTCCACAAGAAGAAGGAACGCCGGCACCCGTCACATCCAACCTTATTTTCAATTTGCTTGCTACAAGGGCTCTGATATTCCAAATGCACAAAACATGCATATTATATCATATTATACTGGTGGTACACTTTGCGCTGATTGATCACTTGCGCAATTGGGCCAGGGCAATTGGACGCGGGGAGTAGGCAAACCTCTGCAGACCGGGAACAGACTCGCTTCTAAACAATTTCGGTCTTGAAACTTGACAGGCCCGAGGTGGACGAAACTTAGGAGGGTTTTTGTAGATGCCAGCAGACCAGCAGACCAGCAAGCCAGCAGCAGCAGCAGCATAAGCTTTAGTTTGTCTTCTTTGTACATTTCTCATGTGTTTGACGTTGTTTTAGAAGCTACCAAAAAAAAAAATATATATATATATATATCTTGTGAACATGTGCCCAACATGGGCTCTGATGATGCTAGATACGCGTGCGGGATTACATTGCAATATTAGCATCGTGTGCATTGGCCTCGGTGCCCTTCCCTTCAAAAGGCTTCAAGAAAAAGAAGACGATGAAGAACAAGAAGAAGCAGCACAATAAGAAGAAGAAGAAGAAGAAGTAGCAGAAGAAGGCCTCATCATGTAGTGAATGGAAGGGGCTGCATTCTGTCGGTGCTGGCTTTGCGGGGAAATCCTTATGATATCAGCTGCGCTGGGGCTTGTGCAGTGTTCAGCGTTTATGTGAGAGACAAGCCAAGCCCATCAGCCGTGGCCAAAACAAGTCACAATGACTTGATTTGCTTGGCTCAAAGGCCTATTAATTTTGGAAGGCTGTTTGTCCTGTTTGGTTGACTTTCGTTGACCAACGAGGTGTTCTTCTTGGCATCAAGGATGCTGGATTTGCACACCGTCTTTCCATCACTTCACTTTGGACAGGGTTGATGTTAATGTCACACCCTGCATGCAATTGCGGGAGTTTCGACATGGTCACAGCGGCAAAACAAGAGCCTTTTCTGGTGGCAATCTGATAGTCCGATTGCGCCTGCCTATAATTGTAATTCTTGCCAGCTCGTGAGCTGAGGACTTCTGCGAGTAGGTCAAATGGGGAAAGTGACATGAATGACATCTACTTTTTAAGGAATGAAAGCAGTCGAGTGTCCCCTGAACTATTTCAATTGGAAAACGTGAACGCACATGTTCTTTTTGCACCATGAACAAATGGTAAGTGAAGGAATCTCATCTTAGAGGCCCAAATTAAACAAAAAAGACCACGAGTCAGGGGGTAGTAGCTACAAGAACGCCACTACCTAGGATGCAGGATAGCTCACGCTCCTTCAATTCAAAGTTGACCTTGTGAAAGCCAAGTGAACTGAGGCTACCTGTCATGACTTCCAGCTGCCTGCATGTGGCAGTGGCCAAGGGGGTGGCCCAGCAGTTCCCGCATGAATCCTAGCTGTGACAAATACAAGCCAGCCAACGACAAACACCTCCATGATGCAAAGCTGTCTGCAAGTGTTGACAAACATGCAAGTTGGGCGAGGATGGCCGCTGATGACCTGAAAGAGACAAGGCGATGGCCGAGGGCCCGTTTTCCCAAAAGTGCACGCCTGAGGTGCCAGGAGTCTGCATAGGGCCACTCGTTCGGAGCTGCGAGTGCCTTACCCAATGGATTCAAACGCACGTGCACGTGCCTCGAGCTTTCCTCTCAAAGCATTAAGCGCC